CTTTAGACATGTTCAATATTTTGGACTCTACCGTTTACGTTTACTGATAGTGCATGAATATCTGCTAGAATCATGGTTAAAAAGGTTAGAAGGTAATCCGAATCCGAATTTTGAATTAAGATCATTTGTATGAAAGCAGAAACACGCGAGAAACGGAATGGAAATATTGTGGGTTTTTTTTTTAGAAAGTTATGAATGTTTGAAATATGTAATAACTGTTTCCTATCTCAAATTGTCCGTTTGGCCATAGAAAAATACAATTCATTCCTGTTTTTTCTCCATAGTGCCTTCTGCCTAAATGTACCACTCAAAATATATTATGAATTGCATATTATGATAGGTCCTCTAAACAAAATTCTGAGTCAGACAGTTTAAAATTCCCATACGTATAGCGATTACAACTTTCAAAAATGCAAAGCACAATTAATTTATGTTCGATTTTGTTCAATCTGCTCTTCTGATTTCTGCTTTCTTCTCAAGTAGTTACTCTTAAGATTAGATTTCGCTTTATCGTTGGATTTCCCTTTAACCAAAAAAAAATTCATCAACCTAATGGACTTTGTTGATTTCACTTGGCAGCCGAGATTCGTTTTACTCGGTGTTAAATTTCTTCGACCGATATTGTGTTAACTGTAATCTTATACAAATCATGTATTATCCTTCTACGGCAGATTTTAAATGAATGAAATAGAATACACATACAAATGCAAAGTTTTGTTAATTTCTAATATAGTTTGTTCTTTTCTCGGATGAGATGCTTATTGATATAATGCACTTAGTTTATTACTACGTTACAGACCTGATAACATATTTAATCCTTATTTAGATTTGTCTCTGTTTTTTTTTAATCAGCGCTCAGAAATTAGAAGGATACTGTAAATGTTAAAACTAGATTTACAACAAACAAAGTCGTATAAAGTTCATAAACAACAGAACTGTAAATTAAATATAAATGCGATTAAGGAATGTTTTCTTTATTTATAAAATGCCAATTCCATACGAGTTTATGATCCATACATATACATGTAATATTTAAGATAATTATAAGAGCAGCATATTTTGCTGTGAACTACCTTTTTGTGAACCCTGCTAAACGTAATATAAAATAGAATATCCATAAAAATGAGGGATTTCCTTAATTTCAAATTCTTTATAATATAGGCAAATATATAGTTTGTCTTACAGTGATGCTTGTACGCCATATTTTGTTTCACACACACACACTCACACACCTATACACATACGCATGCACCTGATCCCAGAAAATCTCTCTGGAGGCCAGCGTTAAAAGGATAATAATAATATTGATAATAATAACAATAATAAAAGTATAATAATATGATGATAGTAATACTACTACTAATTACAAGGGTAGTATTTTTGTAATAGTTCTAGACATTTATGCTTATCCAACTCCTTTGTTTTCTGTCAGCTTTATTTGAATTGAGATTGTTTGTGTTGGCCTGATCATCCAGAAATTAAATCTAGCCAATATTTACATAGTGCAAATGACATCTTTGTTTAGGTTCTTTGGTGCAAGGATTTAGACAATATTATTTGCATGGGTGGGAAGAATATTGAACATCAAACAAAACGGAACTACAGTTTTCTAAATTTCAAAAGAAAAACTGGACCAAATCTGGGTATCAATTTTCATATCGGTTATCTTCAATAATCGTGGCGTTCATGTCCGTTGATCATATTGACGGAAGTAATTGCATCCTCGGGGAAATAACTGAGTGTATTGTAATGGTCGATCCCCGCAAATTCTTCAGGGAAAATAAGTCGTAACTGATTTCTTGTTTTATAACTGTATGTCAGCAATAGGGAATGTCATAACAGTCTTCAATGAAAGAGTATATTACATTGGAACATGTGAGATTTTTATTTCCTGCGCCTCACTTAGATATTTAATTCAAAAGCAAAAAAATATTCATTTAATTCATTTAATACATTTAATTCATATTGATCATTGAAATAGTAAGTATGGATTCGTAAATAGGGGCAGTTAAATGCATGTACGTTTCCATTACTTTCATTCAATTTTATTTATCGTGCCGATCATCCTTTCCATCACGCCAAAACCCAAGGAAAGAACAAAGTTGGTCGAAATTAGAGAACATGGTATTTTTTTTTTTTTCATCTTGTCAGAGGTACTTTATTCATTTACAAAAATAACCAACACACAAATCATTACATCATAACAAAATTTTACATTCACTTTAAGTATTTTCTTAAACTATTAAGAGAAAATCCTCAGTGATATAAAATATCCCCGAAGATTTTCCTTAGTTCCCAGATGCTATTTCAAAAGCTCTCAAAAACTCTCCAAAAAAAATACTATGTCCCGAGAGCCCCTGAAACAACATCCGAGATGTTATCCAAGAGTAACTCGTATTTAAAAACATGCCATATGAAAAAGCTGTTGTATGGTTTACCTTGAAAATAATTTAACATATACATCAAATAGATTGCGTATTGAGCATATGCAACGATTGTATTTATATCTGCTCCATTTGCATGTTTGAAATCAAAACCAGCAATTAATAATTCTTCGTTTAATATAATTTTTTCTTTAAAGTTCAATTCAATCAATTCCACAATACGTTTCCAGAAAAGCTTTACGCTCGGGCACTCTAAAAGAACATGAACGAAAGATTCTGCTGTTTTACAAAAAATGCAAAGGTTTTCATTTACAATTTTCCATTTGCACAGATTGTATCTAAAGGGTAAAATCCTATGAAATGTCTTAAAGTTGAGTTGTTTTATTTTATTGTTTTTCAATGTCTTAAACTTAAATTTTAATGTATCTCTCCAATCAAAATCAATGACAAGGTTCAGTTTACCTTCCCAAAATGTTAATACAGCTGGTTCTCTTTTCTTAAAGTCACACAATAGGCTATAGAAATGGCTAGATTTCATTGAAGATAGTCTTATAAAATCAAGAACAAAAGAACATGGTATTATACTCGCTTTTTTCAAGGATATTCGTTTGTTTTTATTTTGATAGTGCGAATATGATTAAATATATAACCCCCTCGAAATAATTTAAAAACTCAAGAGTGATCGATTATATATCTCTGGTGATGGCGTAATCGCCACTAAATTCAGTAACATTTGACAGTGGGATTATTCTTTTTTTTTATATGATACCACATTTGTTATGATTTTTTAAATCATGGAATGTAAAGTAGATGAAAATGAGGGGCAAGGTCAAAAGTGAAAAGTTGCAAAAGGCACTGTTTTTGTTCGACGGTTCGTTCAAGTTGCCCTATAGCCCGGGTCATTTTTTCAGGTGTTAACCTAGGCATGCATGATTTAGAAAGTTGATGACCAAACAGTAGCAAATATTGCAAATAAGTGCATAAATTCCAATTTCACCTTCTTTAGAATTTGGCATTCATGTGTAAACAGTAGGGAACAATAGTCCTACTTTCACTGACAAATATCACATTCTCTTGTGTCAGAGAAACAAGAGTGCTCTACATAACGACGCCAGTGCTTATACCGTGTGAGTCAAAAAAAAAGTTTACACCTAGAAAATTGCTAATTATTTTTAAAATCATCTATGAACAGTAAATTATTATACATCTCATGAAAGAGTGTTTTATCCCAAATCATTTGGTACCATTTTTTGTGTGGTATGTGTTCACGCTTGGATGAACAGGTGGCATTGTTTGCGAGAGTGCAAATATCGACTTGCGCCAAAGTGATGCCTACAGTATGTATTATGTTGGGATAAGCGGAGTGAGATAATGGATTGAATGTATCAAATGAAATACATTGCATATGTTTTTTTTTTGCAAAGGGCAAAGTCACACACACCCACACACACGAGCAAAAAATGTTCGTTGATATTTGGATCTGCAAAGACCGAATTAATACCCAAATCCCAATAGTTTTATTCAAACATCACATAGGCAACTTTGGCGCAAGTCCAGATTGAGTTTCCAAACTTTTAAAAGAGGTTTCGTTGGATTGAACCGCAATAACTGTTTGCGACGTATAAAGATACTCGCCAACCTTCTTGAAAAGGTTTTAATTTTTCTAGAGAAATGTTGTTTTAGTGGTGTTTATTGTATATCAATCCAACAAAATAGACATTAAAATGAAGAAAAAAATAGTTTTATCACTCCTAAATGTTACAAATGCTTCTTCTCTTTTCAAGACACGTTGTTCCGTTTCCTATCATCTTTACAGATATGCAAAGGACACTTCACTGTCACTCGGATCAAATGACAAGACTGGGGGAATAATTAAAGTGCAAAATTGGATGATTGCAGCTAGGTAAACATATCGTGTTTATCCTTCACTCTGCTTTCTTCTTGCGAAAATTTGCTAAGTCTGAAGAACTGATTGGTGCCAGGATTGTTTCAAACTGTCGATTACATGCAGTTTAATTTTGGTGGAAAATTGTGGTTTTCTTTCGGTTTCGCTAATCAAATTTGTATAGTAGTCTGTTTGCCCCTTCTTGTTGCCGTTCAATACAGCAAAATATCTTTAACTATTTAGGGATGGCGAGTGTTACTCTAATAATAGCTTTATTAGTCATGAATTTAAGAATGGGACTGGCAAAGAATGATACATTGGTAACAATGCATGTTACCATGAGAGCGTCTATACAGAACTCATCTGCAGCCCAGGAGATAACCAACGACGGTGTTCTAAAGGATGGTGTAACGTCATCATTGCTGTCCTCTACAGCTCTGCCCCATATGACCTGGTCAACGAGTGGTTTCACATCTCACTCTTATAAAAGCCGCAGTCATCAAGAGTCAAACGCGACCGACTCGGTAGAATCCTCAGGCAGCGGCTCTACCAATATGCCTAGTTATGAAAACGTCTCAACAGAAAGTTCGTTTACTGAGAGGGTCGAGCTGACTCAGTGGAGCTGGGGCACGGTAACATGGTCCTGGTGGTCCTCACTGACACTGATGTCCTCTATCTTGGGTGTCCTAGGTAACCTAATCGTCATAGTAGTCATTTGGCAACGTAGGATGATGAGTCGCTCCACTGACACTCTCATCAGTTCCCTTGCGGTAGCTGACTTCTGCACCTCTATTTTCATCCTTCCATTGCCCACAGCAGTTACTATTCCTTCTTCAATTCTAGGGGAACTCTATTGCCGCTTTATTTTCACGTCCTACTTCTTCTGGTTGTCTGTCGGATCGTCGATCTACACCTTGACCTTAATCTCTTTGGAGCGTCTCATCGCGGTGAAGTATCCTATCGAGTTCAGTCGCTTCGCCAGTAGACGTCACACGTCTCTAGCGGTTGTCACCGTCTGGGCTGCGGTCATGATCATTGACCTCTTCCTAATTTTGACTTGTTCTGTAGACGGCACTAGACACACTTGCGTCGTGAGGTTTAGCTCTTCAGCCGGACAGTACACCGTTGGCATATTAATTTTCATGGTATACTTTGTGGTACCTACAACCATCATGCTACTAGCACAGGCTGTCACTGCGTACATTCTCCACAAGAATTCCAAACGGTTCCGAGGGGGTAACGACCGTAAAGACCGTTCTAATCCGTCCTACAACCTTCTGATCGCCAAGAACCGAGTCCTCAAGATGCTATTCATGGTTGTCATGTTATTCATCATTTGTTGGGGACCGAACAACATTGCTTACTTTCTCTACAACGTCGGCGTCATAAGTCCGGGTTACCTCTACGGCGACACAAATCATATTCTCACTCTCCTTGCGTTCTACAACTCATGTCTGAATCCGATCGTCTACACAGTTCGGCATCCGAAGTTCCGTGCGGCAATCCGCGGATTGTTTACAGGTTCCGAACCGGAGAAAGATGCTCTTTTCGAATACAAAACGGAATCCAAAGCTCCGTCTCAAACCAAGGAATATGAACCAAAAATTTAAACTTGAATCAGTATCAGAAAAGATTCGGTATCTTTTCTTTTCATCTATTCATATTATATCGAATGGTCGTGTTTTTTGTTTAATAATTTTGTAGTTCTAGGAGCAAAAGGGAAATTGAATCAAACTTGCTGAACAATGTAATAATGTTCCACATTTACAAAAAATCTGTAGGACATTTTGATGTTCATTCACAATTACCGAATGATTTTCTTATGTTAACTCTTGAACGAAACTGTTTAATTCAGATTACCGAGGCGATATCGCAGATGTACCACACTTTATCATTATTGCTCTAGGTCAATCTATACAAACGGATTTCTTAACAATGGATCTATCCGAAACCTTACCATATACCCACATCGCAACCCTAGTCCTACATCTTTGACGAAATAAAATCCGGAGCATTTTTTTGACCGGAGCAAATGTTGGGTCATCGATATCGCTCAACGACCAGTGTCTCGATCGCAACACTTTATAAAAGGAAACCTCACCCTCAGAGAGGTATTCTGAGAAATGAGATGTATTTCTTTGATGCACAATATTCCTTACGAAAATGTACAAGAGATAGATATTCTTGGCATGATGTGATGCCTTTAAGCATGTCATGGGCGCAACCATTATCAAGACTTTTTAAATCAATAACTTTTTAATGTGGAAAAATCATACCTGAGAATATAAAACTTATATTGGGTGAAAATATATTACTAGGGAACAATTGTAACTAATTCATTTAAAATACTAAAACATAGCAGTTGACGAATCTATTTCATTTATGAGGAACCTTCACCCCAGAAGAGCCTCAACTTAGTTATGCAATTTGCGTTCTTGCGATTGTAGTACAAAGGATTTTAGCAGGTGAATGTAATGCTTCATCACCACACACACCAAGGAAGGAAGCATCATTAATTTTGAATACATTTATACTTGATTAAACAATTCATATAGTACCTCACGTTATCCAAAAAATGGCAATGCCCATGTCACCCTTGGAAACTGTATGTTATTTTTGCTGTATGCCTCTCTCATACACTTTGGTGGGGAATCTCGTAGATTAATGGGCAAGAGTATTAATAAATCTCTCAGAATAACTAACGTTATTTCTTGGGGTGTGGTTTCCTTAAAAGGGAAATCCAGCCTTGATAGCAAACTACTGTAAAGGAAAGCCGGATAATCAAAGAATGAAATCAGACACAAAGTGAGAAAGCAATGAATATTTGAAAGATCTAACCATTATAGGTATGGACTCTTCAAACAGGCTTAATGAGGCTGTGATGTAGTGCTGGAAAAATTTCCCATTTATTCCGAAACACAATCTGACTAAAATGTCATGTTTTCAAAAACGTATGACTCAGGAGAGTCCATTCTCTTTAAAGGTTCTGTAATAATATGAAATCCATTACATATGTTGAGGGGTGCCCCAAGGAAGAAGGCAATTTAGGACTTTGGTGGGAAATCTTGTAGATTAATGGTCAAGAGTATTCAATAAATCTCTCAGAACAACTTAAGTTATTTTTATTGGGCTGTAGTTTCCTTTAAAGGGAAATCCAGCCTTGATAGCAAACTACTATAAAGGAAAGCCGGATAATCAAAGAAGTAAACTTGTAAAAGTTAGAATGATATCAGACACAAAATGAGAAAGCAATGAATATTTGGAAGTTCTAATCATTATGTATGGGCTCTTCAAACAGGCTGAATCGGGCTGTGATGTAGCGTTGGACAAATTTCCCATTTGTTCCGAAACAAAATCTGAGTATTAAAGTTCATGTTTTCAAAAACGTATGACTCAAGGAGAGTCTTTTCTCTTTAAAGTTCTTGTAATAATATGAAATCCATAACATATTTTGAGTAGTGCCCCAAGGAAGAAGGCAATTAAGGAGAAAACAGAAAGTAAAGATATTTTCCTACACGACAAACGGGGGAGTTTTCCCCGACTACGTCACAATACTGACCACACTGCCAATTTGAGATTCGCAAAAACCTTATAGTGATTTAATATTTTAAACACTCATAACTTTCTTATTATTGGTTCTATTTATTTACAACGTTAGTAATTATGTGTATCTAATATGTATATATTACAAGGGTAAGGTTACCCTTTCAATTCACTCAGTCGTGCACAGAAACTCTTGCACACACACACGCACACACCTGTCCTTCGGTTTATACATATATGTTGCATGTGTGAGTTTAGCGTGCTTGCCATGATGAACACTATTTTACACTTTTCATTATTTGTTTGATATTCTTTACAACTTCACAACAGCTTATAAAAGTATTGCAATTATTGTTCAAAATGAGTGTCTGTATTTCATTACAGGGGAAGATTCACGGGTCTCTTGGCCAAAAAACAGGTTTAAAAAAGATGGTAACGTTAGTTTTACCTTTTTCAAACCAAAAATGAAAATGCCCTCCCCCCCCCCCCCCCCTCCCTGGCAAAGAAATAAAAAATGAAAAAAATTGAGGAAAATAAGGAGTGTTCAATCCCCCCCCCCCCCCCGTTGAGTGAACACAAAAGTCAGTGCTTAACCACCCCCCCCCCCCCCCCTCACACGGTATAGAAAGGGTCAATCTGGGGAGAATAGCAATGCTAGTAAACGTAGGTGGAGCTGTTGCAAAACATGAGTTTGATATAATGGAGTATATATATTTTTGTGTATGAAAGTGTAGATGTATGTTTATGTAAGAATGCAACCACATCCACGCAGGGTACATTCCTGAAAATAGGTTCGAAAAAACCTGAGTAGTAAGTAATGATTACGTAATAGTTAAAAATCACATACAATCCCTAGAACATTACAGATCAATGTGTTTTATAAATATAATTTGTTTGTTTGTTTTTCGTAGGAAGGAGGATCGTCATCACTTATTCTTCAAACATCATTAATACTGGCCTTCAAAGATGCGTCGGTTTATTTCAATTTCATTGGCTCCGTTTGATGTTAATGTGACTATGATTTATAGTGAAATAGGACGTGACCGTCATTGAGTGTTAGATTGCTTCACGAGTTAGACCGTGAATGTTTTTTTATGTTTATAAGTGTGCAATGAACAAATACCATGAGGTTAATGTACAAAGCCTCTAAATAAAACATAAGATTCGTTCAATAAAGATGATTTATGACATTATTGACACACGCCTAATGAAATTTTGTATCTGTTTATATATATTTTTAACATCAACAAAATAAAATATTTATGGTTATACTCACTTGGCATGGTTCGATATGATTTTGAATAAAAATATGGCACTTTTTAATCAGTAAATTTATCTCTTCAGTATTTATTTATTTTATTGATGCCCATCTGTACTTTTCTAAAGAAAGACGGTTTTCTTAAATCGACTTTCTCTTACCATTAAAGAAACATGCATGTATCCGTCATCATTCAACCATAATGCAGTCTAGGTTACAAATCAGCGAATACATTTATCTCTGATTAAATGTAATTTCTTTATATTCAATTGAAGAAAAAAACAGAAATGGATTGCAAAATAGATCAATCCTGAGTGAAGTGGAGCCCCAAGATAAGCAAAGACTTGACGGGTTTTGAGCTCCAGTATGATAAGCACAAATGTGGTCCCTTTTGGCGCAAAACAGCAGAGATAGGAGAAAATGATTGACATAAAGAAACTGGAAACAGAGGGAAAGAGAGAAAGAATGAGAGAGAGAGAGAGAGAGAGCCGGGGGATAAGGCAAGAGTCATCCGCTTCTCACGGTACATGAATAAACCGAAATACAGGGGTTTCACAAAGGGGTCCAAAGACCATCGATAGTGGGGACTTTTAGATTGAGTGGACGAGAACGACGTGAATGTCCACTGGTCATGCGTGTCTATGGCAAGCAGTTTTAGCATTTATTCCTATTTATTGATATCAAGAATTACCATTGCTTTACAACAGGAAATCATTTCTTGACATCAAGAATTGAATTCTTGATATCAAGCAATAGGAATAAATGTTAAAACGACTTGCCATGGACACGCATGATCAGTGGCTGTTCACGCCGTTCTCGTCCACTCAATCTAAAAGTCCCTATTGTTCCTAAAGGGATGACAAAGTGTTGTTTACTCCCGTGATTTATTTATAATGTTTGAATTGTGTACCAAAATACAAATGGTAAAGCTGATGGTATCAATATAAATATAAATCCTGTCGCTCGGGCGAATATTTTGATAGCAACCCCATCATATGGAAACGTTGTATCACCCGCTCGATCTTACTAGCGTGCATAGAATAAAGTAGCATTTTTGAATGAAAAAGCGAAGTTTTTAAAAAAGTGCGTTTCATTCCAGTGTTGGGGTGCCCGGGAGTCACTTGGGTAACCTTTCAAAAAGTATAATATAACAACATAATATGCACTTTCTCTGTCCTTTTTTCAGAAAAACATAGTAATCCAGCACAATGTCGTCTCTTTTTCCATTGGAGATGAGCAAAATAGCGAGTTTCAATTGGCACTTCGGCCGCTCTCGCAAAGTCTTCACTCCATTGTGGGCAGGCGGCTTTGGAGTGAGCGGCTGATGAATATATACTAGTCGTTAGATTTTTTCTGATATTAAATTTGTTTTGATTGATTGTATATTTTTGTCGAAATTTACTCATTCACATAATGGAACTACAAGTCAGATGAAGCCAGTGGCCCGTGACCACAGAACTATACGCAGAAGGCTTAGTTGGCGTAGTTCCCAAATACTACCAGTAACACAATAGAGTAACTTCACGTGCTTGGTCATATTTATTTCGCCAATAACTTCGTACATACTTAGGCCTACAATTCTCTGTTACCAGTTTCAGTGCACTTTTTATACCGGGTTCTCCTTTGGAATTAAATGTCTACCTTGAAGACCAATTTGCGTTTTGTTTTTTACTAAATTAAACCCCATCGTCAATCATGATCAGACTGGATGATATTTTGGTGCAGATCGGCGAGTTCGGGCCTTATCAGAAGAGGGTTTTTGCCATTGTCTGTATGATTTGTTTTACCGCTTCATGGCAGTCAATGGTC